TTACTGAGAAGCAGAATAAGCAGTAGAAATATGATTAACTAAGAGCAACCTACAGGTTTTACCTACCACATCATCCGCAGATAAAATCCTTCTCTCTATAGACTAACGCAGTCCATTCCCTTAGCACACGGGTTGTTCTTTCTAACCTTGTGTTTGTTGTATTAGCTACTCAGAAGTCATAATTGAGATCCCATAAGTAAAGACACTTTGGTCTCCTCTAGCTTGTACAGTATAACTATTAAAAGGCTTGAACTAATATGCCTATCCACACAACAAAGTTATTAACTATAAAAACAAAACTTTCTCTGAAATACATTAAAACAAAATCTGTTTAAATCCTTAGCTCCTCCATGGTACTCAGACCCAAAAGTAGCCCTCTTACAGCTGGCATTTAGAGTGCCAGCACCTGACTGGGATCAGCAGGTGTTAGAAGTTACAAGAATTGTGCTGTTAATTGTCTCTGGGTGTGTTTTTCTCCAGTACTCAGGGTTCCCTTAAACTGCTGTTCTAAGATCGTTGCTTTTAGTTGCCTGTAACAATGCTAAATGCTAATCAGGGAGGCACTTGTGTGTTGAAGATGCTTTTTTTTTTTTTTAATAAACATAAAATAGGGAGGGGAAAAAAAAAAAGCAAAAAGCAAACACTGGTAAGTGCATAGATAAGTCTTGACAGGACAAGGAGGAATGGTTTCAAACAAAAAGAGATTTAGATAGGATATAAGAAATTTTTTTTTCTACAGTAAATGTAATGAGGTACTGGCACAGATTGTCCAGAGAGGTGGGATGCCCTGTCCATGGAGGCACCCAAGGTCAAGCTGGAGGGGCTCTGAGCACTTGAAGGAGCTGTAGGTGTCTCTGCTCACTGCAGGAAATTGGACCAAATGGACTTTAAAAGGTCCCTTCCAACTCAAACAATTCTATGATTATCAGAAGAAGAGAAAGGCAAAATATCTTTCCTGTATTAGTAAATTACGCATGAAAAAAAAAAAAAAAACAAAAAAAAAAAAAAAAAACACAAGAGATTTCTCAAATCTTGAGAACTTTTGGTATACTAACACTTTCTAAGTAAGACCTGCTATTTAAAGGCAGGTGGGGTTCTGCTTTGGGTATGTTTTCCATAGGAAAATACATCAGGCTAAATTCTAATCCTCATAGAATCTGTGTGTAAACATCCCCCAAAGGGAAAGCTAAAGTGAATGTGTGAGACCTGGGCTCTGGAGTGGAAAAGCTCCAGAAGTGAGCCCTCTGGCAGGGCTCTGGGACAGGAAGATCGTAATCAGCTCTGTAGCTCATCCTTCTAAGTCAAGCACAAAAAAAACCTTAAGGAATGCCTGAATGATCTAAATATGCCTTCCTTTTATATCTTCCTATCATCTGCAAATAAAGGATTACTTGCTGTTTGTACCATAGCTCAGCAGGCATGACAAGCAGCCCCAAAATGGAACGCTTTGTGTTTCATTCAGCAGATTAGGAAAGCCCACAGACAGGTTTGCAAAAAAACAGCCTGTCATTTGATACAGACTGGGCAGGCACTGCCTCCACTGCACAAGAGCTGACGTTACCAGGCCTTTTTGGGTACCAGGAAGAGCTGGAGTTTGGCATGCAATGATGCTGCTGCCTATCACGCTCTTTTCCCTGCCCACTCCTGATTGCTCAGCCTGCCCAGCCACTGCCCAGCTGTGTACCTGCCTGTTCCCTGAAAAAATTATGCTGTCTGCTGCAGCTGTGACTCCTACTTCAGTGTTTGGAAATTTTTTCTCTCGCTCCCTCATCTGCGAAGTGCCAAGGAGCTCAGCTGTTCAGCATTTCATTGCTGAGCTCTTTGGGAAGGCATGGAGAAGCCACAAATGGGCTTCACTCCTTTTCCATCAGAGGAGTCTTAAGCTGAAAGAGAGAAAGAAAGAGAGAAAGGCAACTTGAGGCTGTTTTTTTGTTGTTGTTTTTGTTGGTTGGTTTTGTTTTAGTGTGTGTGTGTCCTCGCCCTCTATGAACTGAAGAATCTCAAAGTTTTCACCCTCACCACGTTTTGAATGTCTCTCTGCCCTCTCACATGTCTCAGAGCAGCAGAGGGAGTGCCCCCACCTATTACTCATCACCCAGCTATACTTGGGGGGAAGCCTATATTTCAGACTTTCTCATCTCTTTGCAGAGACGGTAGAGTCTGCTACTGAGAGTAGTCAGAGGAGATCTTATCACGCCTTTTAAAAGGATTTTTCTCCCCAACTAAACAAAGTAGGAGTGGCCAATGTCATCTATATTCATGCCATGTTTTATAGCTCAAACATCAGATCACTCCTGCTGTAATCCAGTTTGTAAAGCATGTTTGGAGGGAATGAAAACAAAGCAAAAAGTTATTTTTTTCACTGAGTGTAGATCAAAAGGCTTACATGCTGTACTTTTACCACAAAGCAAATGTTTGTGCTATGTAAACTCCCAACAATTGAGATTATAATGAAAGCACTAACAGACATTTTTATTGACCTACAGCTCACTTATAATCACAGGTATGTTCAGTAGCTTTTAAAATCCAAGAGGACAGAATTAAATTCCTGGCTGTTCTTACTGTCCAGTGTTTTCTGAGCCTCCCTGCTTTGACATGGGCTTTCATTTCATTGGGAGGTTGTTGCCACAAAGCATTCACAGCCCCTGCATTCCCAGCGCTTCAAGGCAAAAAAGAAAATAAAGTCAAGTGGGTTGTGTGAAAATGTTTGGGGCTCAGAAATCAAGAGGGGAAACAATAACCAGAATCAGCAATAGCTGCCCAGCAGCAGAGAAAGACAGGGAAATGAGCTGCAGAAAGATCTCCTTACGACCCCAATAACTTTTGCCTACCAAATTTAAAGGGCCTTTTGATTTCCTCCCCAAAGGGTGCATGGGGATTGTGTTGATTTAAGGAGCACAGGAAGGCAGCATGGCTCTCATCCCCAGCAATGGTGGCATAAATAAGCCCAGGCTAAAATAAGCCCACAAAATAAGGCCAGTAGACAGCAGACAGAAAAAGCACGATATAAGCACATTGCAGAAAGAGCTCAGTCATGAGATCAATGACTGTAGTTACTGCAAGCAAATCCATAAACATGCATTCCTATTAATCCACAGAGCTGAGTTAGCTACAGTTGACAGATAAGTAATGGCTTCTGAGCAGAGCGGTGCTGTACATGGCAGTCATCCTCATGAGGCAGTACTACCACTCCCAGGGAAGGCCATGAGACAGGAGCAGGCTCCATGTTGTGAAGGACCTGCTCACGTTCAGCAGGGTAGCATATGAGAGCATCTCACAGCTGGGAAGCCAGGCTCCTGAAAGGAGGGAAACCTGCCCTCAGATCTCTTCTCCTTCCTTGTCTGCTGGAGCGGTTTGGACACAACAAACACCTTTGGATTCCCTTTTTTCACTATTGCCAAAAAGAAGCACCTTTTAGCTGTCCTCTCCAAGCCCAGCTTCAAAGTCAATGTCTTTTTGCCTGGGTGAAGCAGAGGCACTCCTATAGGCTGTATATAAACTCGTCTTACAGTTTAGGGCTTTGGTGTGTGTTGTTTGGGTTTTTTTTAGCCGGAGATCTTTCCAACTCTTCTTTGCATTTTATTATACCTACGCTCTGTTTCCAAACACTTTTTGATAAGCTGTCCAAACATGCCTAAGTATGGCTTTATGTGACTGCCGCAATGTCATCAGGAGCCATTTCATCTAGACTACCACGTTAAGCTAACTATAAATTTGAATAACAGATCACATCATAAATTCCATCAGAACAAATATTTTTCTAAAAGCATTTAACGTTTTCTCTGACAGGGGATGCCAGAACAGCTTCATATAAAAATACAAGTTTAAAAAAAAAAAAAAATGAAGCAATGCTGAACTGATGAAGAAAATTTGCCATTATGTTTCCAAGTGAAACACTTTTTAAAAGAACTGTCTAATAAGGAGCCAGCTCTTTGACACGGTGCGTTACAGTGAGTAAGCAACTTGGCTGCACTCCCAGGCAAAGAGCAGCTCACTGGGTGCCACCACATTGCTCTTACACAAGAGGTTTCCCCAATCGCTGCTTAATATGTTAACCTCTTCTGGGCTCTGTGGGGAGAGCAGGGACATCAGGTCAGTGTTCCTGCCACTGTCACAGCCAGTGAGCAGCCTGGGGTCAGACCATGGCATGTCTCTCACTATTTCCCCGTGAAGAGGCACGACGGTGGCAGTGGCAGCAGGGGCAGCCATGGTACCATGGTGGTGGCAGAGCTGCCTGGACATCCATGAGCCTGCCTGCTTCTAGTGGGCTCTGAAGGCCACAGAGTGGAACAACCTCAATGCATACCAAAACCTGACTGTTATGCGTCAAAGTCTTCTGCCTTGAAATTTCAAAAATGCACACCAGACCCTTTCCCAAACAATTTTACCAAGAAAAAGTGGCAGACATGGGGTGAGAGACATACTCCAGAGCCTCCACGGAGAATGGGAGCAGCCACCCTGAAGGACCACTGCCACAGTGGACTGCTGAGGGCCATGGTAACTCACATCAGAGCAGGGATGGTCTGAGGGCTCATGGATGGCACACATCAGCTGGGACATCAGCCGGGACACCCCAGGGGCCTGTGGTGACCCACATCAGGGCGGGGACACCCCCAACAGACAGTAGCTGGGCAATGCCCATGCACTGATTTATCCCAACACTACTACGGAATGGCTTTCAAGGAGGCCAGGTGCCATTTTCCCCACAGAAGTGTTGGATTGATGAAGTCACACTGCCCATGACCATCCAGCACAGGGAAAGTTTCAACACAAGAAGGTGTGCAGCCTGAAACATAGGCTTTCTCTCTTCATGGCTGGCAGAAAGTGAAGCAAGTGAAAGGAAAAACCACCACAGAGAAAATATGGGATATTTTATAGCATGGGGTTTAAGCTGCAGTTGCAGCACTACTGCAGTGATCTTAATGACCATTGCCGTTTCAGGTTTGTAGAGAAATTCTACTTCTGTTAGGAAGAAAGAAAAAAAAATAAAGCAAACAAACTTCTTTTGGATAATTTTATTTTGATGAAATTTGCTTGGGTTTTTCTGCTTCCTCAGTGAGAAGCTGTGATGGGGGAAAGAGACCTGTGCTGAGAGATGGAAGATTTCTGACATGTTCTTCTGATTTAAGATAGTTTACACACACACACAAAGAGAGAGAGAGAGATAAATCAGTGGCAACTTGAAGGCCTTGGAAAACAGAAAGATGAGAAAGTGATTTGCTGTGAGGAATGACATGAGGAATGACATGATATCTGTTGGATACTTACTAGATACTCTGGATACACCATCTAGAACACTGTAGACAGGCTGGACACAAATCATGACATCAGACGTCCCAAAAACTGTGCAAGAGGAAAAAGCCTAAGTGATGCATATTTACCTCATCTTCAGTAAGCTTCTTCACAATCAGTTCACAACCAATAAATATAATAAAAGTAATAAGAAATACTCTCTTGTAACAAAACTATGGTATTCAGATATTTTGAAGTCATTCTGGCATTATTTTCACTCTTCTCATTCAGAAGCATTCAGACCAGAGCCGAGCACCACACACAAACACCTCAAGCTGAACATTTTACAGCTTGAGGGATGGAGTAGCACCAAAAAAACACGAAGTCCAGCAGAAGCAGCTATGTGACAAGCATAGCAAGGAGAGTGAGCACAAACAGTGCGAACACTCACAGCATGAGCAATGAGATCCAGCACGCCGCAGCCATCAGAAGGTGTGACACCTGCATGGTTTCCGGATGAGAGCAATAGGAAGGCAGTGAGCTGGGACACCCCAACAGTAGCAGTACTGTTGGGCTATACCTGTTTTTTGAAAAATGTGACATCCCCTTCAGCCTACACCTGCAGCGCTTAGCAGAATGTCTAATTTCACCAAGCACGGATGAAAATGAATTAAGCAACTACATGAAGATCTTGGATTTCCATAAGCTTTGGACAAGATGTACAAAGCAGTGTAGAAAGCCATGCTAAAAAAAAAACCCTCCAAGTGGCACCCCTTCTAGGGTTTCTCTGCTAAGCTCTCAAATCCCCCAAATTTGAATCCAGCTCCTACAAGGAAACAAGGGGTGGTTTCATTCAATTGCTGAACTACAACATGACACTACTGAGAAAGAAGTCCAATGACAGTACTGCAGAGTCAGATAGAGGGAGAAGAAAGACGTGTTAAGTACACTGAGCTGGACATGGGATATGAGCAAGCTATGGGCTGAAAAGTCCTGTCACAAACGACTGAATCCATACAATGAGGCTTGAAAACCAGTGCTAGGCCATCTAATCCTCACTGATAAGTGTTGCCACTGCACAATCCAGATTGTGAGGAGATGAGGCTCAACGGGGAGTGTAAGGCTTAGGTCTAACCAGACAATCCTGGTTGCTGCAGCTCAGTAGCTGGCTCATGAGTGATGGGTGGCACACACTGACGACATGGACATCATCTGCCCTGCTCAGAGGTGAGACATGAGCTGGTCAGACTGGCATGTGCTGAGAAAGGGCAGCTATCCTGCAAAGTAATCCACAGAGTAACCACACACTGAGCAGGAGCCCTCTGAGCATTCACAACCTGGGTTGGGATGCTGCTATGGAGTGGACAGAATGAGAGAGGCCAGCATAGGTGCTAACCCCATCCCTCTGACTCTGCTTTCTGACTCTGAAATAAGGAGTGAACACATACAAAACAGGAGGGGAAAAAAAGAAAAAAAAGAAAAAAAGAAAAAAAAAAAAAAAAAAAAAAAAGGAGGGAGGGGAAGATGCCTGTAAGCAACAGCTTGCTTTGTCCTGAAGAAACAGCAGCCAGAGCAGGAAGAAGGAATGTGCCTGTGTGTGTGCACCATGTGGGACAAAGGCAGCTCCTTTCCTTTCAGCCCTGTTGGAAAGCCCCGCTGTCATCTCTCAGTCTGATATGCCTGCAAACGAGCAACACCACGCACGACGTGCTTCTTGGTGTCTTTGATAACAGGTTTCTGTTGTTACTCTCATATGAATTTTCCTTTTGGAAAGATGTATGCATCCAGTTTTGATATTCCGTTATCTGGCTGCAGACAAGTTGCAGGCTTGCATGTCTGGTGAGTGCAACACACACACATATACATACACACGTTCACCTCCTTCCCCCCTCGTGCTGACCTCTCTCCACACTTCTCCACCCCAACCCGATGCGTCTGCTGCGTCCTCATTGCCTCCCCAGCCCCAGGGCAGCTTCTCTCTCTGCCGGGGGAAGGAGTCGCAGAGCTGCTCTGAGGCGGGAGGGAGGGGGGGG